CAGATTTGAGGTAGCAGAAAATGGTTGGGGAGTCCTATAATTTGAATCAGAGGATCAAAGTTTCAGTTCTGATTCTAGCACTTCTAAACTATGTGATCCTGGGCTGCCAAATTTATTATTTGTGAAATGGAAATTATATGAAAACTCTCTATTTCCTTACTGTAAAGCTATGTCAGTGTACATAAGAGATTATTATTTGAATTGTCCAAATGCTGTATCCTGTTAAGGCACAAGGTCCCTTCTTAAGCCTGGGTCAGGGTTTCCAATGCTCTGCTTTCTGTTTAGTTGTAGGCTCTCCTGACTCTGCTTTGCATCCCTCCTTACTTTATCTCTTCTTGTATCCCTGCTCACTTTATCTCTAGGCATTTTTCCCCTTCCAGGGTTAGCCAAAGGGTGGATATTTTCTCTTTAGCCAGCCACCTCCTCCAGTTCCTTGGAGGCACTGTTCACTTTTGTAAAACAAGCTGATCATCATAGGAAATACCACTTGGGTATAATATAAACTTGGGGACATGACAAAAGGTACATAATTTTATCAAACTTCTGTAGCCACAGTTGCTGGAATGTGGTTTGTGGTGTCCTGCATATATGAGACATTGACCCACTGGCGACGGGACTCAATCTTCTTCACTATTTCTTCTTCCTCTCTTTCCTTCTATAGTACCCCTCCCCTTAGGAGAAGGACCAGAAAGTCCAGCTTGTAGACACAAAGGCTTGAAGAGCCAATCCAAGCATAATAATGGTTATTACCTCAAGTTGGTAATTTGCATTTCTAATGTCACCCTACCTGAGTGAGTCACGTCACAATGGCCCAGGCCATACATACTATAACCCCCTTTTATAGATTTCCTTACCACTTCCTCACTGACAGCTTCTGTGCAGCTGTCTGGTCTCTCTTAGACACTTAGAGCAGAAATTCCAACTGTAGAGAAAAGCAAGAGGCTTATAAATCCCTCTTTTTTTCTTAAAAAAAAAAAAAATAACAGAGCCTGCTTTAAGACCGTTTGTGGGCCTTAATTTCCTTCAGTTTTCAGTTTTACCTGGATAAATATTTTTAAAAATTAAATTTAAAAGAGAAGGTTATATACATTCCCAGTATCTTTCCGTATAGTCATTCCTACCAATATTTAGAATGTTGACCAGGATTACCTAATGGCTATTCCATTTGGTTGTTCTCTGGGTGAGGGCACTAACCAGAAATGACTGAGACATTCTTAATTGTCAGTTATTCCCATTATACCATTTGACTAAAATATTTGTGATATATGAGGGACAAGAAGTATTTTTCAGGCTCCTTGATTGTTGCTATTAAAGCTTTTGAAGATGGGCAGTTATAGTTCTGGATTTGGCTCTATCTTTCCTCATAGAAGTCACAGAACCAGAATGTGATTCTAGGCACTCACCCCAGGGCCCACATTTTACCACACTTTGATAGCAATGTGGAGTATTTACCAGAAGGGAAAGGAAGTGAATAGGAAATGATGAAGGGCTAGATTTAAGAGATATATCTGCAGGAGAATTATTTTTTTTCTTCTTCTTTTTTTGCTTATTGTATACTGAAGTTTATACCCTGACTGCAGGAGAATTATTACAGCTGATAACCAACTGGCTGAAGATGGGGGGAGGGGAGTCAAAGATGGAGAGAGAGGCCCCCAGGTTTTTAGACTGATAGACTGGGTTTATGGTGGTGCTAGAAATTAAGATTAGAAATATAAGAGGTGGAGCAGGTTTGTGAACTCATGGGGCATAAAAATCCTATTTGATGCACAGGAGAGATTCTTTGGGCCAGAATTCAAGATTCTTATCATCAACAGTAATAATAGTGGTGATGATAATAATAGCTAGTTGAGAGTGTTCCACATGCCAGGATTTAAGTGTATTTACATGTTATTAATCACTTAATGGCGGTGATACGTTCTGCAAAATACATCCTTAGGCAATTTTTACATTGTGTGAATATCATAGAATGTACTAACATAAACCTAGATGGGATAATCTACTACAACCTAAGCTATATGGTATAGCCTATTGCTTCCAAGCTACAGACCTCTCCAGCATGTTACTGTACTGGATACTGTAGGCAATTGTAACGTAATGGTGTGTATTTGTGTATCTAAACATAGAAAAGGTACAGTAAAAATATGGTATAAAAGATTTAAAAATGGTATACCTGGATACCACTTAACATGAATGGAACTTGCAGAATTAGAAGTTGCTCTGGGCGAGTCACTGAGTGAGTGGAGAGTGAATATTAAAGCCTAGGACATTACTATACCTTACTGTAGACTTTTTAAACAGTGTATACTGGGCTACACTAAATTTATAAACAATTTTTTCTTTATTAATAAATTAAGCTTAGCTTTCTATAACTCTTTTTAGTTTTGAAACACAAATGCTATACGGCTGTACAAAAATATTTTATTTCTTTGTATTCTTATTTTATAAGTTTTTTTTATTGTTATTTATTTATTTGCTTTTTACAGCTTTTTGTTAAAAACTAAGACACAAAGACACACATTAGCCTAGGCCTACAAGGGTCATCAGTATCACTATCTTCTACTTCTATATCTTGTCCCACTGGAAGGTCTTCATGGGTAATAACATGCATGGAGCTGCCATCTCCTGTGACAGTAATACCTTCTGGGATACCTCCTAATGGATCTGTCTGAGGATGTTTTACAATTAACTTTTTTTTTTTTTAATAAGCAGAAGGAGTACACTCTAAAATGGTGATAGAATGTATAGTGTAGTAAATACAGAAACCAGTAACATAGTCATTTATTATTATTGTTAAGTATTATGCACTATATATAATTATATTGACTGGCAGAGCAGTAGATTTTTTCACACCAGCATCACCACAAATACATGAGTAATACATTGCACTGTGTGTGACACTACAAGGTCTGTGATGTCACTAGGCGATAGGAAGTTTTTAGCTCTATTATAATCGTATAGAATCATCGTATCTGTGGGTCATTGTTGACTGAAACGTCATCATGTGGCACATGACTGTATTAAGATGGAATGCTCACATTAACTCTGTTAGGGCAATACCGTGTTCCCCTCTTTTGGCAAGTGAAGAAACTGAGGTTCATAGAAGCTAAATTGCTTGTTAGAATCACTCGG